TGCAGATAGGGACAAAGGAAAGTCAGTCTGGACAGACAGACTGCCCTGCACAGGGTGGGGTGTGGAGGAGATTCAGCATCCTGCTCCCTTTCTTGTTAAAGACCCCCATTCTATGTGACTAGGGGAGACGCATGAATGACGGCACTTTTGCTCTATTTTGGCACATGGAACTCATGACTTGGTCACATCCACAGCATATATCTGAAGCACATGGATTCCTACACCGTGATATGTCATACAGTATCTGTGCAAGTAATGAATATTCTGTAAACAGTGACGTTGTACGATCTGTGTGCAAATGAAAATGAGTGCTAAGTAGACAGGTTAAAGGAAAGATCCCAGAGTCGTTTACCCATCACAGAGCTACAATTTCCAGCATCCTTAATCAACTACAGTTCACAGGATTCTTTGGGGGAAGACATGAGTTTTAAATGCACTTTAAATGTGCGCTGTGGATGCGAGTGAACGCTGAAATTTGAAGTGCTGTAGTGATTGAGGAGTTAGACGTGAGAATTAGCACACACAAAAATATAAATTCACTTCTGAGCATCAAAGGCATTAAATGCACATTCTGGGCCAGAGGGGCACAGATATTAGGGTGGGCATTTCCAACCTGACATGGCACCAGGGCTGTTCGAGGGAAGGGAAGGAACTGGAGTTTGCCATGCACATAGAAATGGTTGCCAATACCCCGCAGGACTTACTCCAGGTAGAAAAAGGGGGTCCTTTGCATAGGACCCTCTGGTGGCTACCCCACTACCACCATTGGTGGGCCTTGGCAGGCATATCTGGAGGTGTTAGCCATTGGCATCGCAGGCCGTCAACAACTTAGAGCCACCATTTTTATTTCCCATGAAGCTCTTGATACAGTGGCTTTCAGGGGCATTTATGCAAATGGCAACTAGCTCCCAGTCCAGCTGCCTACAAACACATGAAGAGATCTGCTGGGTCAGATCAAATTCAGCATCCTGTTCTCACGATGGCCAACCAGCTGGCTATGGGAATCTCAAAAGCAAGACCTGAGCACAAGAGCTCTGTTGCCACTAGTGATTACCAGGAACTGGTATTCAGATGCACACCGCCTTTGACAGTGCAGGCTGCCTGGTACTGCTCACCTGCCACATTAAGCATCATTGCAGCAGGGAGTCTTGACAGCTAAGAACACTGTGTGCTAGAATCAGGCCTGGTGGCATGGATACATCGACAGGTGTTGCAAACAAACCATAGACGTGCTGCAGACAGGTCCCAGCCATAGCTGTCAGCTTACAGATTTGAAAATAAGGGACCAGCAGCCCCGAAAATAAGGGACCAGCAGCCTCAAAAATAAGGGATCAGCTGCCAAAATAAGGGATATTCCAAGCACAGGTAGGTTCAGCTTCTGAGCCCCTCCAAGCCAAAGGCAGAAAGCCCAGCCAGCAGCCAAACGAAGCCTCAAGCGGTGGTTCCCACAGCACAGCAACCCGGCAAAGGGGATGCAGCAAGGAAAACCACCATCACCTCTCCGCTGGGAAGCGCTGAGCAAAGGCGAGTCCCCCGGCAACGCAGCCGATTTGATCAAGGCATGCAAGCTCCACCCCCCAGTCGTTCTTAGACTCCTTATTGGGTGAGCAACGCACCCAAGCAACACAGTTGGAGCCTCCCTCCTCCCTGGCCGGCAGGGAGGGAGGGAGAGGAGCTGCTTCCTTTGAAACCCAGGAAATTTAAGGGACATCATCAATAAGGGACAGCAGTGGGACACGGCGCTGGGATAAGGGAGTTTCCTGACAAATAAGGGACGGTTGACAGCCATGGTCCCAGCTGAGCAGATATCTACGCACAGTTCAGGCTTCCCAGCGCTGTCTCGCCTAACATTTAGTTTGTACCCCATCAGGGGAAGCGTCATGTTGCTGCCGCTTCACTCTCATATAGTACCTTGCGCATTCTGGACTTTAAATAAATGTGAAGAAGCAGTTCTGAAACGGGGAAGTTGGCGAGCGTAAAATACAGCTTCTGTGGAAAAAGCGATGCGATACTTTGCCTTTGGGAGGCATTCATGCTCTCTCAAAGCGTCTTGTTTTCCCCAGCTCCCTTATTTCCCAGCTGTCCCTCCCTAGCACAATTTCAGTTTTAAAGGCCATTATTTTCCCTGCAGGGTTTCCCCCACCTTCTGCAGTCAGGATGACAAACAGCAACCAGATACCACCTGACTATGAGGCCATGAAAGGGCAGGCTTCCAGCACAGAAAGCACAAACGTTCAAAACCACCAACCAACTGCAAAATCCTGGCTAGGAAAGAGGAAACTGCTTCTGCCTTTAACTTTCCTTGGTTTCGAACGCTAGCTAATGAAAGGGTCCACGGAGTTTTCTTGGCAGGGATACTGGAGTGGCTTGCTAGTTCCTGCTCCAGGTGGATCACGTTTGGTCAAAACTCTCCACTATGACCTGTCCATCTTGGGTGGCCCTGCACAGCATAGCTCATAGCTTCTCTGAGTTATTCAAGCCCCATCGCCACGGCAAGGAAGTGAGAGCTGGACCATAAAGAAGGCTGATTGTCGAAGAACTGATGCTTTTGAATTATGGTGCTGGAGGAGACTCTTGAGAGTCCCATGGACTGCAAGAAGATCAAACCTCTCCATTCTGAAGGAAATCAGCCCTGAGTGCTCACTGGAAGGACAGATCCTGAAGCTGAGGCTCCAAGACTTTGGCCACTTCATGAGAAGAGAAGACTCCTTGGAAAAGACCCTGATGTTGGGAAAGATGGAGGGCACAAGGAGAAGGGGACGACAGAGGACGAGATGGTTGGACAGTGTTCTCGAAGCTACCAGCATGAGTTTGACCAAACTGCGGGAGGCAGTGGAAGACAGGAGTGCCTGGCATGCTCTGGTCCATGGGGTCACGAAGAGTTGGAAATGACTAAACAACAACAACAATGAAAGGGTATTACTTAACCCTCAGCCCTACAGCCCTACACCAGGCATGCTGAATCTCAGGGGCCACATGCAGCCCTCCATGCCTCTCTATGTGGCCCTTGAAATCCTCCCAGGCCATGCCCCTCCCTGGTCCTTCTTTCACACCGCAAGCATTTTGACCTGCGGAACTCCCTGCTGGGGAAATCTAGCTGGCTTCATCCTTTCTTGCCATCTTTAGATATTTGCTTATTCTCCAAGGCTTTCTATGAATAGAGCTTTAGGCTTCATCCATGCTTCCCTTTGTGCAACATTTCCAGGCACAGGTTTGAAATTTAAAGCTCCATGTCTGAGGGGTTTTGTTTGTCTGTCTGTTTTGGTTTTTTGTCCCAGTGCTTTCTCTGGGAGAACCCGCTTTTTACCACTGAATCGGAGCAACCAGCAACTGGGTTTTCTGCAGACTGAGGTTTGCTCCAAGTCAAAACACAGGTTTTCCAGGGGGAAGTGCTGAGACAAACAACAACGTGCTCAGATGTGGAGCTTAAAAGCACAGACCTGTGCCTAGAAAATGCAGCACAAAAGGAAGTCTGGATGATGAGGGTGATATATTTATACCCCACCCATCTGACTGGGTTTCCCCTGCCACTCTGGGCGGCTCCCAACAGAATATTAAAAACACTATAAAACATCAAACATAAAAAACTTCCCTAAACAGGGAATGAGCCCTTGCCGTCTCTGCGCTGACTTGTAGATACTGTTTTAAAAGTCCCAGTGCTTTCTCATGATCCAAATATCTCTGGTGAGCCTTTAATTATTGTTACAGATAAGGAATGAATGAATATTAGGATTTTGATTAATTGGGATATGGATTAAAGTGCAGAACTGTGCCATACAGGGAATTCAGGAGGCTCCTGGGCTGGCTTATGCAAACCAGCCCGGCCAAGATAGGGAACAATTGCTGGGCCATTGAAGAGAGGAATCTTTTAGCCTGGGGGGTGAGATGTTACCAAGGTGATAGATGGAGCACATGTTTGAGGGGACAGGAAAAGGGAGTTGGGAAGCAAGGGGTTTTCTGGGAAGAAGGAGGAAGAAGGGGTGAGATTCATCTTGGCCAGTGAGAGGGAATGTTGCCTGCAATGCCACGGGCCATGCTGTAAGCTCTGGTCATAAGTGTACCAACCAAGCACGTACATAGATGGGCACAGGAAGACCGACCTGAAACCATTTCTGATTCCCAAACTGTCCCAATGTTTTCTCTACAAGGTCAAAGGAAAATGGAAAAGCCTCCCCATTGTCTTTTCCTTCACAAATCCTGTCTTAAGGGTATGTCTGTGTTTGAATAGGGTGAGCCTGTGACCTGACTCAGGAACTGAGTATTTATCATTACTAAGTATTTATCATTACAAAAGACTGGCCAGGCTCCCCAGGGTATCCAATCAAGTAAGCAGGCAATCCAATCAAGTGACCATTAAACAGGTAACCTGTCAGACGAGACAAACAAGTCACTCAGATTTCTGTTTTAGACCACCTTTTCTGTGATGTAGGTATGATGCATCTGGGGGGGGGGTGGTCTTGAGCTACACCCTTGAGCTCCAGGGCAGGGAATTTAAAATGTCTATATAAGGCCTTGCATGCCATTGTTCTAGGTTCCTCCTCCTTTCCTGCGTGTGAGGGGAGCACCCTGTGACAACAGATCAATAAAGATCAGGCTTACCAGCTGCTTTGCTTCTCAATATTCTCTGGTTGGCCTCTGTTATTTTCTCCTACCAATAGGGAACCTACATAAGGATTCTATATAGGCTCTTGGGTACCCCATAAGGGGGAAAAGGGCAGATTTTTGTTTACAACAACTCCCTCCATGCAGACTGAAAGTGTAAATAGGTGAATAAACCATATTTCTTAAAGCACGACAGTCTCCGCAGTGTACAGTATGTGCCTGGGACCCCATGGGCTGTTGCCACCGTTTGGCAGACAGAGGGACAGGCCCCTGGCTTTTGTAACATTATTATTTCCTGTTGTTTTTACTCTCTTTTAAGCCAGCTTGGAAAGATACTAGCTTGAAAGGAGGGGTGTATATGAATAAAATACTAAATAATGCATATGTTTCTCAACAAGACAGATAGCACCACACACACACACACACACACACACACACACTATAAATAGCAACAAATTACTCCATTTTGCCTAAGTCTTTCATAGGTGCTGTGCGTCCACTTATACAACATTGCCACCCTACTCTGCTGGGTTTCCGACCCACCCACCCATGGCAGCCACCTCGCAGTTGGCTTCTCGTCTGTATTCCATCTGGCTTTGAGAAATACAGCACCTCGTGGGCCTGTCAGGATGGAACCCTCTGCCAGCTCAGTCAGACGGGTGGCTTTGCCAAAGGAGCAGAAGAGAATCAATGAGATTTCCAGAGCCCGTGCAAGTCTGCCTTACGCACAGATTGGAACTCCCCATCCAGAGGGCAAAACGCCACGGTGTCTTGTGCCATTTCCCTGGAAAGGAAAACAGCTTGTCTAGCACGGCTGCTACGCAGCATCTGGGGGGGGGGGCGCGGAATAGAGAGGGAGAGATGGCCTATGTCTGTGCTCTGTGTAGCTTGAGATGAAGCACAACCAGCAAAGCTGCTCTTTTTATATTGTCCAGGTCCGGAATGCCCAAGTCCTCCAGCAAACACATGCATACGTTGTTTGCAGTTTTCCATTTTTAGCAGAAAGCTTGTGCTGTTAATTCTGGTCTGCATTGCTGTGCATCAGGAACAAACTGCATAGCACAGGACTTCCGGGGTGGCGCCATCGGCAATGGCGGATTCCCTCTGAACTGGAGGGACCAGCTCCACGGGAAACGGGTCTTTACCGCTACGGCGAAGCGGGGACCCACTCAAAAATCACAGGCGGATGAAGCCTGTGACCATGGGACTCGGCGGGCACCCTTAGCGCCCCCCCAACTCGCTAAGGAACCCACTAACGGGCTCCGAAGTGAAGAGGGGAAGTGGCGCGGTGCTGTGAGTCAACTGCTATTTCCGTGGAGTGAAGCCGCATAGCCGTTGCCGGAGAGTGCTGCCTTTTTCCTGGGACAATTTGGACTTTAAAATAAGCACCCGTGAGTACTTAGACTTTGAACAACTGGACATTAAATAAGGACTTGCGAGAGAAAAGAATTAGATCTTAAAAACCTATTTTAATTTGGTACGGAACGGGAAGGTCTAAACAGGAAGTCAGCCTTCCGTTCTTTTGTAAACAGAATAAAGCAAAGACAACGTAAACTAGAGCTCAGAAAATCGCCTTTAAAGGATTGGATTTCATCATTTAAAATTGTGGAACCCCCCTTCAACAGCAGGAGAAGGGGGGGGATCTTTTTCGGACTGTTTAAAGTGAGTTTAAAGTAAAGTAACTTTCCTCCGTCCTGATCCTGGAGAGGGGTGTCAGGACTGACGTTTGAAGTTCATTGACCAGAGACAAGCGTTTTTGACAGATAGCTAAAAGAAGAGAAACATAGTGATTCCACTGTTTCCCTTCGCATTTTAAAAGAACAAATATTGACAAAGTATCTCAAAAAGGGAAACTTTGTTGCAAGAACAAATAGAAGTTTTCCCCCTAGAGGGAGACTGTGAAACTGTAACCAACTCCAGGGAACCGGCAGCTGTTACAGATTACAATTGTGGGAACAGGCATTTGACCTTGCAGGACAATGTACTCAGAAGCTTTGTTGTGTGCTTTCTATAAAACAAATGCCCTACTGGAACAGTTACATGAGAAGGTGAATTGGATGGCGACTTCGACTAGAAATTTTGAACAGGCAGTGGGAAAATATGTGGAGACCACTCAGGAATTAAATCAGGAGTGTGTCCTGACAGAACAGGCCCAACAGGAATATGAGTTTTCGGATTTGACAAATGAACTTGGAAAAAGCCAGATTTGGAAAGAAAAAGTTTGGTTTGGCTTGGAAATGGGGGGCTGGATTGACCCCTATGCTGGGATGTTTGGACTTTTCAAATCTGGCAATGGGCCGTGAGATGTTTGGGATTGTGGGGGCTCTTAATTTTGGAGGGCCTTTGAAACATGCTTTTAAATATCATATGGAATTCAGTGTTGAATATGGAAAAGGAGCTGATCTGTCGAGAAGGGCTAAAAACATTGCCAAGCTGGAGTTACCACGAGCAGGAGACAAGGGAAAATACAGTTACAAATATGAAGAAGAGCTGCGGAAGGGACATGGAAGAGACTTGAGGGCCTCGGATATAAGGTTGCCAGGTTAATGGGCTAGATTGACGGGATAATAAGGACCGACAAAACCCGGAACCAGGAGGAAGGGACGTTGGATGAAGATTGGACCTGTTTGTATCTCTTTTTTCTACCATTAGAACTGTTTTATAAAATTGATGAATGTTAGAAAAATGTTGGAATGAAATTACTTGGCTTTAGTAAAGATGTTTAAAGAATTATGAAAGAATATTATGGTTATGAGAAGTTGGTAAGGATAAGATTTAAGTTTTACGCTTTAAGGTTTATTTTATTATAGAAAGATAAGTTTAAAACAGTTTAGGGCAATGTAATGACAGAATATTATGAAATATGGAAAGGATTTGCTGGGATAATTAATAACTAGGATACAAAGAAAGGGAGGAGGAGGAGGTCAAAGAAAGAAGGCAATGACAGTTGAGGATTTGAAAATAATGAATTTGTTTTTAAATGTTTTTAATTGTTTGTGATGTATTTTTGTATTTTTCTTTTTTTTGTCACTTTTTTATTTTTGAATTTGTATTCATATGATTGGAAGGGGTTTGTTTTTTTTCTTTTTCTACTTTGTTAACTATTTTTATTTTGTACTTTCTTCTGCCTTTATTTTATTTTGTAACACTTTGAAAATTTCAATAAATATCTTATTTAAAAAACAACTGCATAGCGCAAGCCTTTCAAGAATAGCTGAGACCACCATTATTTGAGGCTAGGATGGTGTAGTGGTTGGAATGTCAAGTTGACAGCTGTGGACCTGGGAGCCCCAGGTGAGAATCTCTGCTCAGACGTGAAGATCACGGCTACCTTCCCAGGTTGACAAGCCCCACCTTCTTTTTTGTAATTATTATTTTCTTAAAGTAATAATAATACAACTAAAAAATGTGCACCCCATCCCCGAGACCATTATTCATCATAGTCAGCCAACTTTCCAAAAATGTAACACTTCTTGAGATGGTTTGAGCCCTTTCTGTTTTAACAATACAAATTCCGCAAATATTTTCCCTATTTCCTCAAAGTCATTTCTCTTCCATATTCCCCATCTTCCTTTAACATCACACGCCAATTTGTCATTATCGCTGTATCACACACTACTTTGTGCCATTCTTCTATTTGATATCCACCTTGCTTTCTTCATTTCCTAGCTATGAGGAAACTCTTGCTGCTGTCAACAAATTTGTGAGTTACCGTATTTTTCGCTCTATAAGATGCACCAGACCATAAGACACACCTAGTTTTTGGAGGAGGAAAACAAGAAAAAAAATATTCTGAATCCCAGAAGCCAGAACTGCAAGAGGCATCTGGCTTCTAGGATAGCCTCTTGCTGTTCTGGCTTCTGGGATAGCCGCGCGAAGCCTCTCCCAGGCAGCGGGATGAAGGCTGTTTTGCGGCTAAGCTGCTCTCTGTCCCTTCCCCCACCTCCCGCAAAAGCCAGCCAAGAGCTGCACACTCTTTAAAGGGAGCGCGGCTCTTGCAGACTTTTCTACGAGGTGGGAGAAGGACAGCCCATCAGTGACTTTAAAGAGCGTGTGGCTCTTGGCTGGCTTTTGTAGGAGGTGGGGGAAGGGACAGAGAGCAGCTTAGCCGCGCGGAGCCTCTTCCGGACAGGGGGAGCCTTCATCCCCTACCTCCCGCAAAAGCCAGCCAAGAGCCGTGCGTTCTTTAAAGGGAGCGCGGCTCTTACAGGCTTTTTTGGGAGGTGGGGGAAGTGACAGAGCCGCACGCTGTTCTGGCTTCTGGCTTAGCCGCGCAGCCTGCATTCGCTCCATAAGACGCACACACATTTCCCCTTACTTTTTAGGAGGGAAAAAGTGCATCTTATAGAGCAAAAAATACGGTAAGTCCATCCTAGTTCCTTCTCCGGAATGTGCAGTAAGCACCTGACCATTCGACCCCCTATTGGTCTCATCTGCTCAATCCGCCACAGCCTGTCTTTGCAGGCAGCCTGTGCTTAACCACTGTAATAGATACATCTGGGTCTTATGCACCAATAATGGGAGGAACATAAGAAGTGTAGACCAGCAATCAGTTTATACAGCAAGAAAATGTTACAGGTGTGTATGGGCTGTTTTTCAGGCAGGCATCAGGCCTAAACATTACATACTAGAAAAACAACAACAACTTGATTGTCATTTTGAAAACAGCTTTACATGCTTTAAATTTTCTGCCATACTCCTGACAATCAGTGCTTGACTGTTTCACTACGCATGTTGTGCCCTATTTTCTGTGAGGTATATGACACTCACCCAGATTTATAACGAATATGAATATTCATGGCAATGCAATCTGCCTTGCCACCTGTCAGACCATTGTTTTCTCGTTCTGCTTTTCACTTGATGGCAATTTCACAGTTTCAGTGCGTATTTTCTCTCCAGTTTCTTTTTTCAGAACATTCAGAAATCAATTTATAATGTTGAGCCAGCAAGAAATTTGGAAGAAGTGTGACTGCGTGCCACAGACCATTGACCCCACCTGCTTATCGCAAGTATTTTTTTTTATTAATTTCATTTCTATACCACTTTACATTTTTAAGAAAAATTCTCAAAGTAGTTTGCAACACATTGAAACATAATATAAAACAATCCAGAATAAAACATTACTGAAGAGAGTCGACCATAAAGTATACATTCAAAGTAACATAATTAACAGGAAACTAAAATATTATTTGAAAAGATTTCAAAACAAAGCATTATGAAGGAGATTGACTACAGAATGCGTATCTTGAACATTTCAAAATAAAACATTACTAAAGCAAGTCGAACCTAAAATTCACATTTAAAACAGTATTGCTATATATATATATATATCTCACATAAAAATTAAATGCCAGATGCCAGGGGAAAGGTAGGGGCAGGATTGTCAACTTGGTGCTAAATACTGACCATTAGACTTAGTTATAAAACTATATTTTTATATAATCCTGTCAAATTCTGTTTCTGTAAGAGACCTGATCACACACCCTTGAGAACTGGAGAGTCAAGATAGGACATGTTCCACAGTGCAGAGCTATGAG